TGTGTAGATCAGTTACATGAGTCATTGAGTCTTGTGTAGAGGTCAACGTGATTCATTAGGTCGTGTGTGAAAGTCAATTACATGACTCGTGGAGTCGTGTGTGTAGATCAGTTATTCAAGTTATTGAGTCGTGTGTGTAGATCAGTTATGCATGTTATTGAGCCGTGTGTCTAGATCAGTTACGTGAGTCATTGGTTCGTGTGTAGGCGTCAGTTACGTGAGTCATTGTATCTCGTGTGTCGATCAGTTGCGTTAGTCATTGGGTCGTGTGTGTAGATCAGTTACGTGACTCATAGGGTCGTGTGTGTAGATCAGTTACGTGAGCCATTAGGTCGTGTGTGGAGGTCAGTTACTTGAGTCATTGAGTCGTGTGTGTAGATCAGTTATTCAAGTTATTATTGAGTCGTGTGTTTAGATCAGTTACGTGAGTCATTGAGTCGTGTGTTGACGTCAGTTACTTGATGTGAGTCATTGAGTCGTGTGTGTAGATCAGTTATTCAAGTTATTTAGTCATGTGTGTAGATAAGTTATGCAAATTATTGAGTCGTGTGTCTAGGTCAGTTACGTGAGTCATTGGGTCGTGTGTGTAGATCAGTTACGTTAGTCATTTGGTTGTGTGTGGACCTCAGTTCCGTAAGTCATTGGGTCATATGCATGTGTAGGCGTTAGTTACGTGAGTCATTGAGTCATGTGTAGGCGTTAGTTACGTGAGTCATTGGGTCATGTGTGGGCGTTAGTTACATGAGTCATTGGGTCATGTGTGGGCGTTAGTTAGTGAGTCATTGGGTCATGTGTGGGCGTGATTCATGTATTAAAGTAATGCAATAGCCTGGGTTGTCACTGGTAGGTCCTACTTACCCCCCCCCCCTTTTCCCCCCAGACAAAAACAATAATATTATTGTGTATGTCTGTCAGTCTTTCTTATTTTCCCTTGCACGAATTAATCAACATTGTGTCGATATGCTTACTTCCCTTTAATGAAATTAAACAAAAAGTTACTTTAAAATGTGTTCATTATCACTGTCTCTATCATTATTATTTTGTATTGCAGATACAATGAAAGATATCTTCTTCTTATCGGATTCATATTCTGCCTTTCGGGGTACATCGTCTACATTCCTTGGGGTGACAAGTTACCCCCCTTGAGCTATGCACGTAAGTCGTTCCCCCTTCCTCGTCTGCTCTGGCTCCTCAATGGACGTCTAGTATTGGCACTTCTAAGCAGTTAACGCCCACATCGACACAATTTAGATGATTTGGAAGGAGAAAAGTTGCAATCTTGCCTGTCAGGTTCATCTAGGACTGAGTGGGATAAAACATCTCAGCAGACAGATTAAGATACAAGATGAAGAATGTCTCATCTTGTCTAATACCGATGTTTGGGATTTATTTTAACCGTCGAACATTTCAACTTTGTTGTACTGTTGGGATTTTGTCGTCGTTATGTGGGAAAGGTCCACTATATGATTTATCTCTACTTTTGCTTGATTTGGTGTTTTGAGTTTGTTTTCGTTTTGGGTTATTTTTTTTTTTTAATTTTGTTGCCGGGGAGGTTGTAGCTTTTCTTTGCTTGTTTTTTTCTGTTTGTTTCTTTTTTGTTATGTTTTGTTTGATTTTTTTTTTGGGGGGG